TGATTCAATTTGTCCTTGTGTATTTATAAAAAGGTCTGGGTCTAAATTTGTTATAATCGTTGTGCATATTGATGATCTAAATATCATTGGAACTCCTGGGGAACTTCGAAAACCAGTAGACTGTTTGAAGAAAGAGTTTGAAATGAAAGATCTTGGAAAGACAAATTTTTGTCTTGGTCTACAAATTGAGCATATGAAAGATGAAATTTTTGTCCATCAATCAACTTATACCGAAAAGATTTTAATACGTTTTTATATGGATAAAGCACATCCATTGAGTACCCTGATTGTTGTGAGATCACTCGATATAAATAAAGATTTACTCCGACCTCATGAAATAATAGAGAGCTTCTTGGTGATGAAACTCTATATCTTAGTGCAATTGGGGCACTAATATATCTTGCAAATAATACTCGACCAAATTTAACTTTTGCAGTAAGTTTATTAGCAAGATTTAGGTCCTTTCCAACAACAATCTGGAATGGTGTTAAATATAATTTTTAGATACCTCCGAAGGACTATTGATATGTGATTATTTTATTCTTATGAATCTGATTCACAAATGATTGGTTATGCAGATGCACGTTATTTGTCTGACCCACATAAAGCTCGATCTCAAACAGGCTATATATTTACTTGTCAAGGTACAACTATTTCATGACGTTCAATAAAATAAACTTTAGCTGCTACATCTTCCAATCATGCAGAGATAATAGCTATACATGAAGCTAGTCGAGAATGTGTATGGTTGAGATCAGTGACTCAACACATTCAACAACTGTGTGGTCTTTCTTTAAAGACGAAGATTCCAACAATATTGTATGTAGATAATGATGCTTGCATAGTGTCACGACCCAAAATCCACTAAGGGTCGTGATGGCGCCGGACACCATTGTCAGGCAAGCCAACACAAAATCACTAGTAACTCCTTGTTTTAGATATTTCTGAATTTACTCCTTTTATATATATTTAAACAATAAAGAATAAGTTCCACTGAATAAATAATAATATCTTTAACAATTTCAAAATACTGAATAATCCCATAGACATCCCAGAACCCGGTGTCACAAGTGCATGAGCAATTACTAAGAGAATCGAATAAAGTACAATAACTGTCCGGAATACAAATTGGACAGAAGTAAATTACAAAACGCTGAAAGAGACTATACTGGCTGAGGGTTGCCTCGAGAAATGCAGCTCACCTAGTCTCCGTATCATCCATGCTGCTACGCCCAATAAGCCACTAGAAATACATGTGCCTGTACAACAAAAATGCACAGCAAGTGTAGCATGAGTACGAAAACAACGTGTACTCAGTAAGTATCCCGTATAATCTCGAAGAAGTAGAGACGAGAGGTCGACTTCGACACTTACTAGTGGTCCAATAATGATACATCAATAATATAATAGATCGAGGATTTTTATAAACATGATTGCAATTCAGTAGAATGAAGCAAGTAAACAATTCTTTCTTTTATAGGAAATTCCCAAATCTCTTTTCATCATTTATACATTTACTCTCAAGCCAGGAAGAAACAATATCAACTTCGATAAATTTCAAGGCAAGCAATATAAGCATGCGCAAATCATGCCGAGATCGTACGGCCCTATCCAATAATATTTAAATTGTGCACTACTAGAGGGCGAATGACGCGAACCATAGATGCATCTATTTAATCTACCGAGGCGTTCGGCCAGCTCCACAATATATAAATACATTCAAACAGTCAATCAAGAGTTCATCAAGGAGCAATTATCCAAGTAAAAGGCAAATTTTGCTTTTAAAAATCAAGGAAACGATGACTAGTCTTTTAGATATTCATTTACACATTCGATATGTTTTAAGCACTTTTAAATTGACAACGAGATTTCAAATATTGCAAGTAAAGCATGCTTTTGGGTCCTAGACTACCCGGACTTAAGCATAATAGTAGCTACGCACGGACTCTCGTCACCTCGTGCGTACGTAGCTCCCACAAATAGCAGCACATATTCAATTAGTTCACCTATGGGGACAATTCCCTCTTACAAGGTTAGAAAGGAGACTCACCTCGCTCAAAATCCTATGTCCCAATTCAAGAACGCGCTCAAACCTCCAAATTGGAGCCGAACGATCCAAAACTATTCAAATGGGGTAAGAACTAGTCAATACATGCTCAAAAGTTCATATTCTAATTATTAAACCAATTTCCCAACCCTAAATGCAAGGTTCCTAAAATTCATCCCCGGGCTCACGTGCCCGGATACGAAAATTTTTCAAAGGTAAAATTTACCCATGACCTCACGAACTCAAATATATAATTTACTCCCAATTCCATGCCCAAGATCGTGGTCAAAATCCAAAAATACCAATTTCTAAGTTTTTCTTCAAAATCCCTAAATTTCTACAATTTTACATGTTTAAATCCATATATAATCCTTGTATTCAACCCATAACTAGAAGAAATCACATACCTCTTGATGATGGTGGAACCCCTTCTCAAATGCTCTCAAAAATCGCTTAAGACCAAGTGGGAAATGAGGGAAATGGGCTAAGTCTCGGATTAAAAAGCCATTGCACCAGACACAGAAGTCGCATTTGCGACCTCTGGATCGCAATTGCGATGGTCGAATTTGCGACAAAGGCATCGCAAATGCGAAGCCAGCTCCCCCCTGACTTAGTTGCATTTGCGACAAAAAGCCTCGCAAACTCCCTCGCAAATGCGATCTTCCCTCAGCAGCCCCAGGTTCGCAAATGCGAGCCTACCTTCGCAAATGCGATGGTCGCATTTGCGACCAAAACACCACAAATGCGGCCATACCAGTACCAGCAATCCCATTTCTTAGCAAATCACTCCGAAGCTATCCGAATCTCACCCGAGCCCCCGGGGCTCCAACCCAAACACCCGCACAAGTCTAAAAACATAACACAGACTTGTTCGAAGCCTCAAATCACATCAAACAACGCTAAAACCATGAATCGCACTCCAATTCAAGCTTAATGAACTTTAAGATTTCAAGCTTCTACTTTCAACGTTTAAACCTATCAAATCACGTCCGATTGACCTCAAATTTTGCACACAAGTCGTATTCGACATTACGGACCTACTCCAACTTCCGAAATCAGAATCCGACCCCGATATCAAAAAGTCCACTTCCGGTCAAACTCCTCAAAAACCTTCAAATTTCTATCTTTAGCCAAATGACTCCAAAATGACCCACGGACCTCCGAATTCACTTCCGATCGCGTTCCCAACACCAGGATCACCATACGGAGCTATTCCCAGACTCGGAATCCCAAACAGATATCGATAACACTGAAATGCACTTCAACCCAAACTTATAAAATTCTTCCAAAATTGCTAACTTCCACAATAGGCGCCGAAACGTTTCCGGGTCTTCCAAAAACCCAGTCCGGACATACGCCAAGTCCGAAATCATCATACGGACCTGCTAGAACCTTCGAATCCCGATTCCGAGGTCGTTTACTCAAAAATCCGATCTCAGTCAATTCTTTCAACTTAAAGCTTCCGAAATGAGAATTCCCTCTCCAAATCAACTCCGAACTTCCCGGAATTCAATTCCGACCACGCGTACAAGTCGTAATACCTGAAGTGAAGCTACTCAGGACTTCAAACCGCTGAACGACGCGCTAGAGCTCAAAACGACTGGTCGGGTCGTTACACATAGCTCAACTAAAAGGAGGATATATCAAAGGAGACAAAACAAAACACATTTCACAAAGTTCTTTTTCACGCGTGATCTTCAACAAAATGGTGAGAATACATCATCTTCGAGATATCAAATAAAGTTTTTATCAAGGGGAGTATAATACGCGATGTACTCTTTTTTCCTTAACCAAGATTTTTTCCCAATTGGGTTTTCCTGGTAAGGTTTTTAATGAGGCAACACTCAATGCGTGTTACAAGACGTGTGTACTCTTTTTTCTTCACTAGGTTTTTTTCCACTGGTGTTTTCCTAGTAAGGTTTTAACGAACACATTATCTTTCAAATAAACATCCAAGGGGGAGTGTTATAAATAAAGTGAATGTAAAGTTCATATAATCCATCCGTACATTCTATACAATGTACTACTTGAATGGATGTGCCTATTAATTCTTAGGATGTATCTAGTGAGTTTTGCGTGTATCTTATATACTATAAATAGGATATTCTTTACCCATAGAAGAACACGTAAGAAACACACTTGAATAAGATATCGTATACATTCTCCCTCTATACATCTTGTCTCTATTACTATATTGTTCTATTTTGCTCTCATTTATCAATAATAAGATACTTCTACCGTCCGCTTACGCCATAGTAGATTGAGTCCCTTTTATTGTGTTAGGGGGCCATAACATGACAGATTTCTCAAAGCACCCATAATATGGACACTTAGATGAACAAAGACTTTACCTTTTGGATATGTTCTTTCCTTGTCCCAAGCAAAAGGGAAATGCCCATGCGGCATTATTCTTTATAACAATGACCACCGGTACCACTTTGAGGGATACCTTAATCATACACAACAAAACAAAAAACAGGTTTTTCGTACATTTAATAAACACCTAACAACAAATCCAGTAATTTTTTATAAATGGAGTCTGGGAAGTGTAAGATGTACATATCTTTACTCCTATTCTGGAAGGGCATAGAGGCTATTTCCGATAGACCCTCAGTTGGAAAAGGCATGAAAAAAAGTAATGACAACAAGTAGGAGCAATAACAAGGAAAAAAGACCGAAGCCAAGAAACTAATTAAACTCTATGTAGCAATAGCAATCTATGAATTTTAATACCTTTAATATACCTTGAAAAATACTCTTTAAAGACAGCTATTTCACAAGTGACAGGGATATTTCTAACGCAATGTTCGTGCTACCTCATGTGAAAGTCGTTACTCGAATCCTATTGAAGTTTAACTGTTTAAGTAATCCAATATTTAAAATTTGTCCCTACTATGGCATGTCTTTCTCTTCATGATTTTTCATGACCTTTGAGTTTGCGGCTCACAAAATCCGTTTCCATTGGTTCTAAAGCAAAATCAATTGAATGATGTTATTTCTGGAATAATATAGGTTATCTCCTTGTCCTTGCAACCCAAACTTGCTCCCTATGCTTTTTATTAAAGCAGATAAATCAATTTCTCTTCCAATTTTTTTCATGCCAATTTTATATATGTTCTTCATTATAAGCAAGAGCTAGCTTTTGCTAGACTCGACCGAAGATGCACATGCACCCAGTCGTTGGGCCTCCATATATGTTCTTTTCCACTTTATCAAACACATGAAAGCAGCTTCTTTTCTTTACTTAGTTGGGATTTGATCCCTGTCGTGTCTTGCGTTGCATTTTCATTTGTCAAACTCGGCTACATATCTAAATTGGCGCGCGATCCCTTTCATTCTGATGTTTTCGTTATCTAGGTACTCCAAGAACATCAAGATATGGTAAACTCTTGGTTAAAAAGCAAGTTCTACTCCAAATTGGTAATAATGACAATTCAGCAACGCGCTCACTTTTTTCTGAGGTGGGAAGTGGGATTCTCAGTTCTTTCGCTATTATTTCTACTCATATACTTCTGGTACAGCAAATTCACAGTCAGGCAGAAAAAGGCTCGAATCGAAATGGTAAAAGAGAAGGGGAATCCAAAACATAAATATTCGAAGAATGACACAGCGGACCTCTTTATAAATGGATTGGATGGCAGCACAAACAGCATGGTAATTTTCTTGAAAGTTTTATCTTGTTTCAATAAGAAAATTATAGGTACTCGTATGTTAAAGTTGCAGGAAATTTAATTTTCTTTTTCTTTTTCTTTTTTACTTTATGACACATGTCGCACGTGAGTAGCATGTGCCATTGGCCTTCTATGACGAAATGGTCTTAATGGAGATTTTAGGCATGAATTTAGTAAATTAAAGCGTCTAAAGAAAGTTGTCAAAGAATAAGTGTGTAAAAAGAGTTTCCATACAAGTTGGAAGGTAAAGTATGTATGTCTAAAAAATCATAAAGAAGCAATTAGTATCTCCAATACCTCTTTGTCACATGTAAAATACTTCTGTTTATAGACAGATTTATAGATTTGAAATAAGTGGATGCATATCAAGATTAATTAATATAAAGAAATTGTATAGTAATATGAATAGAGTTAATTGTAAAAATTGCACGGGCGCCCTATTTGGTCGCCCCCATTTAACCTATATCCATTTTTTTAAAAAGTTTTAACATGTACCCACTTTTTAAACAACTTCAGCCCCCTTTCTCCTCCTCTTTCTCCTCCTTCGTTTTCTTCTTCTTCTTCTTCTTCTTCTTCTTCTTCTTCTTCTTTCTTCTGCTGCTGTTGGTGCTGCTATGAAACTTCAGTTCATGGGATGATTGCCATAAGTATGTTTATCAGATTATTTAAAAATAAATTATAAATAATTATGTAAGTTAGTAGACAATAGTTTGTGAATATTTCCACGTAATTATGTTCTTTTTACGTTTATTGTTTCCAAAATTTATGATTTAGATATTGTTGGCAATCTGATTATTTTATAGTAGTAATACACTATGAAAGAATAAGGTGATTATTCATCTAGTATGTTAGAAAGCTTTTTCAAAAACTTCAGCTTATATAGTGCTGAAGTTTTTACAAATGAACTAAATAACTTCAGCATCTTCTGCTGAAGTTTTTGAAAAAGCTTCATGACAAAACTAATGAATCCAGGACAAAAAAATTTCAGCTTATATAGTGCTGAAGTTTTTACAAATGAACTAAATAACTTCAGCATCTTCGATGCTGAAGTTTTTGAAAAAGCTTATCCAGGACAAAAAAAACTTCATGATCAGCTTATTTAGTGCTGAAGTTTTACAAACGAACTAAATAACTTCAGCATCTTCTGCTGAAGTTTGTGAAAAAGCTTATCCAGGACAAAAAAACTTCATGATCAGCTTATTTAGTGCTGAAGTTTTACAAACGAACTAAATAACTTCAGCATCTTCTGCTGAAGTTTTTGAAAAAGTTTTATGACAAAACTAATGAATCCAGGACAAAAAAACTTCAGCTATTTTAGTGCTAAATTTTTTACAAATGAACTAAATAACTTCAGCATCTTCTGCTGAAGTTTTTGAAAAAGTTTTATGACAAAACTAATGAATCCAGGACAAAAAACTTCAGCTATTTTAGTACTGAAGTTTTTACAAATGAACTAAATAACTTCAGCATCTTATCTAGGACAAAAAAACTTCAGCGTATTGCTTTTGCTACTTCAGGCTCGTCTACTAGAATGCTGAAGTTTTGCATGATTGTCTTTGCTGCTTCAACCCCGTATGCTGAAGTTACGCGAAATAGTGGGTATGCTTGCAATTTTTTTTGCAAAGCGAGCACAAGTTAAAACGTGACCCAAAAAGCGGGTATAGATGCAAATCCCCCGAGTTAATTTGATCATAAGGACAATGACCCAAAGGCCAAACCTGAGCGAAGTGCATTAGTAGTCACTTTTTAAGCCTGCTATTTAAAACATATTCATAATTACAATGTATTTAAAGATTAGCCAATTCGTCCAAGCTTAAGAACTAAGTATCCTGAATTTTCGTATCCTAAATTTTGAACTGCTAATTTGGAATTCAGGACTAAGTGTCCTAAATTTCTGAACTCCTAATTTAAAATTCAGGACATTAATTTTTAATTTCTGGACATAATATTCGAACTTTAGGATACGATATCCCGAAGTTTGAACCTTGAGGTTTAAATTTCAGGACATCGTATCCTGAAGGAGTTAATTGGCTAATCTTTAAATATATTATAACCGTGGATATATTTTAAATAGCATGCTTAAAAGTGGCTACCTAGTGTTCGGGATGATATTCAAAGATTAGCCTGTACTTATTTTTGTCTTGAAATTTTAAACTAACAATCTTAACTTTATGGCAATTTAGAATATTTTTATTCTGAAAAATTGAAATACATAACGGACGGACTAATTTCTAAATAACAACCCTTTAAACAAATGGACCCAAATTTATGCTTACTTCCTTGTATTTTTCTAACTCCCCTCTGCAGCTAACTTTTTCGTTGTCCCTTTTGTAGCGAACTTCTCAGTCTTCCCATTCTCTTCTCTGACAGAATCAATTTGTGTCTTCCTGTTTTTCTTGTCGTCTTTTTCTGTCTCCGTTCGAGTCCGACAATATATATTTTCCTTTTATATCTATCTCAAATTAGACCAAAAACCTTATGCCACCTATGCATTTAATATAATTGTATTTGTACAACACAAATTTGGATAATTGGTGGTAATGTTTCCTATTTCCCTTCAACATATAAACATTATAGAGAAAAGTTGCGGGTTTAGTGAGTTGTATTACCGAGAGGAGCAGTAGTAGCCATGAGTCGTGGGAGTTAAGAATACAAACGAGACCCACACTAATTGTTTCATAACATATTTCACATAAATAATCTTTTCATTATAACAAAAGTTTGAGTGTTTTGCACCACCAGTTTAGTCAGAAGAGATGTGGATTATTGGTGGACTAGTAACTAATTTAGCTGATGAATATGATTAGTGCTCATGACTAGCTTAGCCTTAGCAGGCCCTAGCTTCTTTCTCGCCACAATTACAATGGGGCTGTCAAATCTTTCAATTTACTTCAAATCCTGAGTCCTGACTATGGATTTTCCTCATGTGCTATGTTGAACTAACAAATTAACCAAAACCAACAAGGGGCCAAAATATCCAATAATACGCAGTAATTCAACTTTCATTGAATTGAAATAATAGACTTTATTTTCATTTCATCGAACTTTTGACGTTTTGTTGGCTATAACGTTCTCTAATTATCATTTTGAAGAGAATTAATATCTTGCACTATTTATAGTAGAAGATAATTTTATTAATTAGAATGTCAAATAACTCTCTTTTATGTATAGAGGCAGAATTAGGATAAGTTTTATGAGTTCAATCTTTACGTTTTTTTAGCATTGAAATCATTGCATGTTTAAAATTATGAGTTCAGATCTACTATTTATTGTAATTCAATTGAATCCGATATTCGTGTGCTACATCCGCCTTGGTTTGACATAAATTTTTTCTTTTATGCGTGTGTTCGATTGTCTTAAATCACAAAAAGGAGCTCCCAAGGAAAACTAGAATGCTTTTCTATTCCTTCTTTTGGTAAACGATTTGATAACATCCCACATGTCAAAGTCTCTCATTTGACAATAATTCCTTGGGGAATAACATGAAATGTTGAAACGGAAATTGCAATAGGGGGGTCCAGGTAACTGACAATTGCAATATCAGTCCCTATGTAGACATGTAGGAGGAGAGCGTCCCCACAATTAAAATACTTGTGATCAAATAACGAATTTAAGAACCATAGAAAAATATTGCCACATTTATACGGATAATGGATTAATGGTTTTTATCTTTTGCACACCTTTAGTTTTGCTATTATCTATAATTCGGTTTGCTACGAGCTTGCTTACTCATTAAGAGATGATTGATAATTAGTGGATGATATACCCTATTATCATATGAGATACAATTAAGTAATTTATTTGCATGTCTTTTTGCAACTTTCCCACTAAATCAGACTAATATTTTTGCACATGCATTAACATTAAGGTGTATTTGGTACGAATTCCAATTTTCCATGTTTGATTGGTTTAAATGTTTTGGAAAACATTTTCCTTATGAACTTATTTTCATTCGATTGGAGGAAAATGTATTCTTTATGAAGAGAAGATAAAATATTTTCTAAAACTCCTTATAAACCTTCCCTACCTTATTCCCCACCCTCACCAACTCACCCCATCCCCCACACCCACCCACCCAACCCCACCCCACGCCCTCTTTCCAGAAAGGTTTTTTTTTTTTTTTTTTTTTTTGCATCACCATCCACCCTGCCCCCCCCCCCCCCCCCCCCCCCCCCCACAAAATATTTTTTACTACTTTTTTTTTTGTAATTTCAAATTTCTGTTTTTTCGTTTTTCATCGCCATCCACCCCACTGCCCCCACCCCGCCAAAAAAAAGTTTTTTTTTTACTTTTTTTTTTGTAATTTTCAAATTTCTATTTTTTCGTTTTTCTGCACCACCTGCCCCTCACCCCGCACAATTTTTTTTTTTACTTTTTTTTCTTTGTAATTTTTAAATTTCTGTTTTTTCGCTTTTTTGCACCACCCACCCTGCACCCCACTGCCCCACTCCCCACCCCGACCAAAAAACATTTATTTCCTTTTTACTTTTTTTTTGTTAATTTCTAATTTTTGTTTCTCTATTTTTGCAAACCCCCCCCCCCCCTTCCGCCGGAATTTTTTTAATATATATATTCAGTTTTAGTTTTTTCATTTTTCGGTTTACAGGTTCGAAATTTTACAAGTTCTGAAGTTATGAGTTCGGAGATTTATGTGTTTGGAAGTTTACAGGTTTAGAAATTATAAAGTTTACGACTTCGAGAGTTCGCAGTTTCGAAAGTTTAGCGGTTCGGAAGTTTATGATATTTGTGGGTTCGGAAGGTTGTTGGTTCGAAAGTTTATGGCTTCATGTTTATTGTATCTAAATTATTTATGAATACTCTTGAGAAGTTATTTTCCTTAATTTGCGTATCAAACACCGGAAAATCAATAAGATTACTACTTATTTTTCATATTTTCCGTTATACCAAACACACCCTAAATTATAATTTCTCCAGTAAAATAATCTAAAAAGAAGATCGAATAATACTTTTAAAAATAAAAGATATTCCGCTTGGCAATAGTCAATAGAAGTAATGCCAAAAAAGGAAAAACAAAAAAAAGCAAAACCCATAATGTAGCCAATTGCCAATGAGAGCCAAAGTGGAAAAAGACGAGTCCATGTCAGCTTTTCCACCAGCTCCAAGTCGATAAAAGGTAGTGGTCTTAGTCAAAGTTCCCACCATTAATGTACTACTCCTTATACTATACTCGCAATATTCACCCAATTCAGCAATCTTTTCATATTCTTATATTTCCGTTTGTTTAACTACTTTTTCAATCGTCTCCATTAGGCAATTCCAGAGGCACATCGAATGGGTCACGTGAGCTCGAAATCGGATTCCTCATCCGGCGATTCCGCTGACGGCGGCTCGAAACCGTCGCGGATGAGAAGACTCGGTCGACGGCTTCACCTGCACAGTCACCATTTCCGTCGCCGTAGTCGTGCTCACACCACTGGTTCACATTCTCATACCACTAAAATCCTAAAGGAGGAAGATTTTGCTGGCATCGCTCTCATCCGGATCATCAGTGTAACTTTCTCTACCGAATTTCTGAAAAAATTGAATCTTTTTACTCACTCTGGTAAACGTAATACATATGTGCACGTCGTGCGTGTGAATTCGTAGCTAGGCGTAAGTTCTGAAAAGATACAGAGTTTGACTTTCTGTAGCTGATTCCTACAAATATTTGCTGAATTTTCTGCACAGAATGGTAAATGTAACGCGTATATGGGCATGTCGGTCGTGCGAATTCGTATTTACGCGTTTTTTTAAAGTTCTGAAAAGAATGAGAAAGTGACTTTCAGCAACTAATCTCTACGAATTTGAATTTTTTTTTTACATAATCTGGTAAATGTAATACGTATATGCATGTCTTGCGTGTGAATACATATTTATACATATATTTAAAGTTTGAAAAGATAACTAATTTATACAACTTTTGCAAAAAATTATGCAAATTTTGGCAAATGTAATAGGTATACTTATATATAAGTTTTGAATAGATACAGAATGCAATTTTCTATTTCTAGAGTGTTACAAATTTGTAGATTGAATACCTATGTATGCATGTAATATTTAGAATTTTTGAAAGACACAATGTAGCTTTCTCTTATTAATTCCAGTGACTTTTACAAAATTTTACACTTACTCTCATATATGGAATACTTATATGTTAATGTTTTGTGTGACAATATGTATGTTTATGTTAGTTTTGAAAGATGCAGAATGTAGCTCTACAAAGTTTCCGAACTATTTTACACAATCTGGTAAATGTTATACCTGTTGTGTCTATTAAGTTTTGGAAACTTATGGATGAAGTTGTGATTACTTTGTTTCAGGCAGAGATGAAGTTCAAGGACAAATGGCTAGTTTGTATTTCTCTTGGTGAACAAACTTTTCGCACCCATGTGTCTGATCAGTTAAGTACCTGTGCCTGCAGACAGTTGCTTGGTATCGAATTTGTGTCTTGAACTATGTTCCCAGTACATACACACATATACAAACATGTATTTTGCATATAAATATTTGGAGAATTCACTTCTGCCACTTCTTGTAATCCAAAGTTATAGTTGAGTGTGTGTGGGTTTTGGGGGGGGGGGGGGGGGAGTTGGGGGTTGCGTATGCTATTTTTTGCTCAGTATGTTGGGTGTGGGTACAGTAATCAAAGGTTGCTTTGAATTATTTGAACAATTTGAGGATAATTTGTGAAAAACGAAGCTAGCTTTTACCTATTTTTGTTTTCAAGATAAAAAACAAATAGTATGAATTAGTTCAGTTATGACATAATTTTGTTTAACAAAACTGCTTTTGAGATGTGAGCATGTTAGTTATGTAGAAATTTTGAGTTTACCTATGGGTCTTATTTTGCTGGAGCCAGACAACTGTGTAAATTAGAAAGAGCTAGAACTTTGACTAGGTTCTTAATACCTGCCTGGGATACTTCAAAATGCACTGATAGTAACAGACATGAAAAGTAAAGTTTCATTTGGAATTGCAACTGGCGAACTTGTGCATGCTATCTTAAAACAGTTCAGAGCGTTATTCGCTTGATGTGCTCTGTGTAGTTCTGTAACATAATTTATACATTCTCGAAGATTATTGTTATCTTTGGAATATTTCTTGCTTTGGATCAGTATTTCTTCAGAAAATGATAATATGCCAAGTATGATATGCACAGAAGTACTCCATCTCTTTGTTATTTGGTATTCTTATCAATCAGCTACTGCATGTTTACTATATTAAGAATTGGAAGAAGACATACAGATTCATGCCTAGGAGATGTCAATGACACATTTCTCCAATCATTCATAATGTAGGACAAAGAAAAAAAGGCATAGTTGTGCTCAGTTTCCCTACTTTTACACCACAAATTATTGATTATGTTTTTTTTTCTTTTTCTTTTTATTTCTTTGCAGAACTGACAAGCCGACCTGGAACTCAGTGAGTAAACGCTGTATTTTTTTAATATATTTGCAATGAAATCCCATATTCTCTTTCCTTTTAATATTTTTAATATGATCAATCCATAATATGCACACATAGCAGATAAAACCCTTTAGGCCACAATTATTGTTGCTTTCCCACATTGATTAAACACACGTACTTATTTAAGATGTTTATGGCGATTATAGAAATATCGATTTCTAGTCCTTGTACATGCAGAATTTTCCTTGTGGGTAGGCGTTGAGTGATCTTTCTATGCTTAACTTACCTTTCGTTTGTCAAGCTAAGTAAGGCATGATAACTGAAGTCTAGTTATGCAAGTTACAGTTGGGCGTGCACTGACCCTGCAATCCTGGGGATATTCATTCTGATCTTCTTGTACACACTAATCTTGGTTGATCCATCTCATTGCATTAGGGTGTTTTATTCTTGGTTATGCTCTCTGTGAGAAAACCTGATCATTCAGGTAAAATCTTAAGAAATGAGTGAATAGCCCAAGATCTCTATGAGTTCTTTTGGAAGCATGTCTACCTCCTCTCGAACTACATCTGATGTGAGTCGGACATTGTATATCTCTATCAACTTTCCATATGTGCTAGGGTTCACATGTGAAATTGAAATTAAAGGTGAAACGACAAGCTTATCAAAGTTTATTGTGATGCCATGTGCTTAATGGTTAGGTCCGAATTCTACAATGGAGCTCAGAATGAAATTGATTAAGAATTTAGCATCGAAGCAAAAACTTTCAGGCAATGTGTGAATAGCCCAAATTTTTGTAAACCCTTTTGATGCTCGTATACACCTGATGGGACACTTAGTATATTTCTAACACACCCAAATTCTAGAGAGGATAATGACAAGTTCCAGAAGCTATTTTTGACCTTCTTTAGTTTTTCTTTAACAGTAATTTATGAGCTATTTCTGTCATGAGCTTTTGCTGATATTATTCAATCTTGATTCCTATAGGAAAAAAAGCTTCTTTTGGAAAGACATGGAGCCCATATTGCAAGAATATCTGTTTTTGAGGTGCGTAGTACTGATGGCTGTGAAATTTATCTCTTGTGCTTTGCATTTCCTTGATGGTGAAAAACTTTGTATAATACAATATACCTCATTAAGTTATAAAAGCTAAACCTAGTGTTGGATGTCCAACCTAGGTGCTGCAATGCATCAAAGAGCATCCTCAATGTTTATATATTTCATGTTTGACCATGTTAGGTCTCAAGAAGTTGAATTGAAGAGTTTGAAAATTTCCGATCATCATGGTCTCATGTTGAGAAAGTTATCGGTAAAAACAAAAGTTAGGATATATGCTTTCTATCGTACCGAATCATCCATGAATACGTAGCCCTACAGCTTCCTGGGATTTTATATACAGTTCTCAGGGGAAAGATTAAGCCTCTCCTTTATCTTGATATATTTGGAAGCAGAAAGCTCTTTGTCGAATTTTTGTTCCAAATCCTGTTCCTTAAGACCTCATGAGGAAGATAATGTTGTTTAATTTTCATCTTTCTTGATGTTGTACTTTGAAATGCCAATACTGGTTTTATCCTATGAGTCATTATGAAAAGAGAAAAAAATATAATAGAAAGAGAAAATTCTCAAAAATTACTCACCATTGATTTATTTCATCCATGTTACAGACCAACAGGCTTTCCAAGAACAATCTGATTGGTTACTGTGAGATAGATCTACTTGAATTCCTTTCTCAGGTGAGTTGCTTTTGTGATTGAAACAAAATATCTGCAACAAGTGGCACTTATGTCATGTTTATGTTGCTAACTAAGGAATAACTGTTTGTAATGTAACCCTGCAAGTTTTGGGTTTTTCTTGTTTGTAATAATCATCTCATTTGAGTTACAGTTTTGACAGAATGACATTTCAGTTCTTCCTTTTTTTTGCCTAAAAGGGTCATGTAAAAGAGAAGACTAAAACATCTGTCGAAGAGATGCCAAATCCACTTGTTAAGGACACGTTCCTCAAGTTATACTCACTTAACAATGTTGAAAAAGATTTTGAATCATCCTTTCCGATAAAGTTTACTGATCTAAGCTTCTTTATGATTGTGCCCTATATCAATTGTGTATTTCCCCATTTAATGTTAGCTACGATGAGAGGTGGACAAAAGGTGGTCTTTGTTGACAAGTCCTAGGAATTTGGAAAAACTTGTTTAAAGCAATTCGCTTGACCAAAAAATCCAAAAATGGAAGCAACATGGCCTTCACTATGCTTGGATTTAGTAGCATTTTAAATGTTACCACTTCAAACAGCAGTTACTTTCATCATGCGTTTGGATAAGGCCTCCGAGTCTCATATGTTCAGAAATAGGATGTCTACCAATGCAAGAAGAGGGATGTTAATATCGAGAATGATGTAGTTTCGTAAAATGATGATTTTAGAAGATTTTACTCATAAAGATCAACAGAAACTCGTTGGCTTGTCAAAAATGTTGATGTCGTGTTTGGAGCTGCATTCCTTAGTTTGCAATAGTTGCACCTTTCCTCTACTTGGAGAAAGTTATTCTGTTGTCAGAGGGATCTACTTAAATGATACTATGCTTCCAGATGTATCCTGCATTTTTCGTGGTTAATCTATGTCTGCTGAATTGTAAGTCCAAACTTGGATTGCTTAGTGTGGCCAAGTCCCTAGTCATGAAATTAGGTTTTCCATCTCCATTTCAGATCAACTCTTAGCCCAATGCTAAGTGAATAACTTATCTTGCAGGATTCCAGTTCTGATACTGAGGTTTTTGACTTGTTAGACCCATCATCCTCATCAACTGTTGGCCGTATATCTATTTCATGTTGCATCGAGGTTCGTATGCACCGGGGAGGATCTACTTTTAATTGCTTATAGTAGGTTGCTACCGGCTATGATCTCAAATATGTGATTAAATTTTATTGGCAGGACCCTGTTGACACTGAGAAAAGCTTTGTTCGGCGCATCTTATCTATAGTGGTATGTGAAAATTTTACCTACCGCCCTCATTCTAGATGAAAGAGTTCTCTTAGTGGATCCTTCTGAAAACAATTTGCAGTATAAGCTGGCTAGAATTTCTGTCTCACCTATATAGGCGTGTCCCTTGTTCAATCTTTTCTTTCTCGTTTCTTGATTATTTAAAACGAACTGTTTCAATCTTTTCTCTTTCCTTTTTCTTATCAAGATCATCCTATTGCATATCACACACTAACAGCAAGAAAGGAGTGCATTATTTGGTCAATCTGGTCAGAACTCAGAAAAAAACAATAGAACTTTCATCTGTTTACAATATGTGAATGATTTTTTCAGTTTGTAATACAACAACAACAACAAACCCAGTTTGATCCCATAAATGGGGTATGGGGAGGGTAGTGTGTACGCAGACCTTACCCCTACCTCATAGAGATAGAGAGGCTGTTTCCGAAGTTTGTAATAATATACACAATCTCGGTTTTGCTTCTCTGTTGTCATTAAGTTATTATTATTTGGTAATGAGATGACTTATGAATTAGTTATTAGAGAGTTGTTGCTCTTTGCAGGACTATAATGAAGATGGAGAGCTGTCATTGGCTGAGTTCTCTGATCTGATTGCTGCGTTTGGAAATAAGCTGGCAGCTGAGAGGGTTCGCACCTGTAGAGTATCTTAAGCTCTCACTGTAGTTTTTATAGATCTTCTCATGCAACATGTTATTGGACTTGATTTCTCATTCAGATCACATCCTATTCATATTGTTATTTCAAAAATGACCTTTTCTCAACATAATATAAATGCATTTTGAATAGCACCTAAACCAGCTAAGAATTCTAGATACAATTTTTGTAATTATTAAAACCGAGGCACATCTTGTATTTTTTGTGAAGACTCCATAGCTTAGGAGTCTTTATTCTGTTTGTCAGAAAGAGGAGCTATTCAAACAGGCTGACAGAAATGGGGATGGTGTTGTCTGCTTGGATGAGCTAGCCACCCTTCTGGCTATACAGCATGAAAAGTAAGGCCTCGTAAAATTTGCCTGCCTGGAATAAATTGTGACTTCTTTTTGTAGTACTCCCTTCAATGCTCAAATTTAATGAACTGCAGCATCTACATGAGTTCTTTTATTTATTTGAATTCTTAGCTACTCTAGGGCAAGCAAAGTGGACCATTGAACCAAAGGCACTTGCCAGTTGGGGTTGTATTATGCAACTCTATTTTGAAAGTTCTTGCATTTTTCCTTCAATGTTGTGCTTAAATTTCATACTGCCGCTGTCTTTGTTAATTAAAGCGAAAGGTGGTAAACACGCCTTAACACCTTACTAAACGAGTTACAGGATTTAGAAAAAACTTCCTAAGACCTAGAAGGTCGCATTTGAACTTGTGAAAACTTCAAAAGTAACAACTCTTTCAGATCAAAAATCGAGAATTTAATGTTCAATGTATGTTTGTCTAATTCTTCTTTCTGATAAGTTTTGAGGATTTTATTGATATAGCAAAATGGGCATAAGTACCTGCTTGTACATACTGAGTGATACAAAAAGTAAACCCCCTATTCATCTTGGTCATCTAATTGTTGGCATCAACGTGTGTGACAACTGTGAGAAAAAAAAAATATGTGTGACAATCTTTTAGTAAAGCTATTATGCTCATTAAAGGAAGGAAAAAGAAACAGAAAAAGATCAAAACCAGAGCATAACAAAGCTATTCTGTAGACCTAATACCATATGCAAACTTCAAATGATTTCCATTTGTTAATTCATGGTTGTCTGGCTAAAAAATTGGGGAGAAAAGTTAAATTGCTATATATGAAGTTTCCAGAGTGTCTTTGCATGGGTTTATTCAAAATTATAAATAGTAATATTCCGCAGAAAGAAAAATGTGAGGCATCATCATAAATTAGGTGCACAAGGCTCTTCATTTCTTAAAGATAACATCCCTATAAATATATGCTTAGAGTGAAAACTGAAAACCATTAGCAATCATCACAGAATAGAAGCACAAGGTTCCCTTTTCTAAAGAGAAGAGAACATTCTGATGAAGTACTGAACTTCATGACGTATGATAAATCTAGATGCTTCACTTGAAGTAAACTGAAGGTAGTTAGTAAGGAATAAAATGGATGAAAGCAAAAAGTTCCTACGTGTGCCTTTTCCTTGACTTGACTTTGGCTTAAAAGAGATTACTTCTTATATCATGCTCTATCATGTGGAAACACAGTTGTCTTTTAAACCTTTTATATGGTGGTATGTAGCCTGAAACATTGTTAACGAGAAACCAATTATATCCTTAACAATGTACATGAGGAGTGGGTAGAAGTTAGAGACACATAGAACAATTTATATAGGGATGATTAGAAACCTCCTCGTAGTTTCAACTTTTCAATTTGATGTCATCTTGTCAAAATCTTTTTTTGGACATTCCTAAACTTTTGTCCAGAGTTCTTCAACTTAAAGTGAAGATACATGACATCTACAATTACTTGCATTGAATTACTTTTTCTTTTCTGGCAGATATAGATACTTGTGTCATTGGCTTCATGGTCTTCTATTCTCCTGTAGACTCAATGTTCTTTTCTTGCAGGGAACCACTAATCAATTGCTGTCCAGTTTGTGGCCAAGTTCTTGAAGTTTCGGATGGGTTGAACAGCATGATTCATATGACCTTGTGTTTTGATGAGGGGACTGGGCATCAGGTTATGACAGGAGGCTTCCTGACTGAGAAGGAGGCTTCAAGTGGGTGAGAACTAAGCATCAGTTCTGAGTTCTAATAATTCCTAATAAAATTGCTTCTGTCTTGATTATTATTATATAATTATTTTTTTTTGAGATCTGCTGACTTTATTATGAAATGTTGAAGTTCACATACTTGTATAACTCTGTGTAGATGGATGTTCAAACTGAGTGAATGGGCCCATTTCTCAACTTATGATATCGGTTTAAGGTCTGGTTCAAGTGCATCACATATCTTGGTATGCTCTTGTACTCACTCCACCCCTCAACAGAAATGTCTCTCACCTTTCTGGTATGCATATAAGGAAGGAGCAACCCTTTTTTCTATAGAAACTGGGAGAAGGATCTAAGACATTTATGCGTACTTTACTTGCCTTGTCTTCTTACAAGTTCTTGTGCAAGCCTCTCGGAACTTTATATTTGTAATTTTCACACTGTTTATCAATTTAGGGGTCGTTTGGTAGAGTGTATAAGAATAATGCTGAATATGGTGTATTAGTAATGCTGGTATTAGTTATGCTTATATATTTCTCATCCATTGTTTGGTTTGATGTATTAAAGCATTGCACAATTTCTAAAAGAATTGTTTGTTTACAAGAATACCCTCATAACCAGTCCATCACTTTATCTTTTTAAAAGATACATATGTTGAGGATGTTTTTATATGAAAAAGGTTTAAAAAAATTTTGATTTGTCTACCTATATTGTAGTATAGAACTCAATATTTATTTATAAAAAGAAAATATGCTAAGTATTTATTTATTTACTAGGGATATAATTTTGTTTCACTTTCTTGGATTATTTCAAACTTGCATTAATATAATAGCATATTTCAATCAAGCATAAATTTTGAAGGACAATTTTGTCTTTAACTAAGCTAATGCATGCATTAAAACTCATTGCATTGTTAATACCATGATTTCTTATGCATTAGTTATGCAAAGGATAATACCAAATAGGGTGTATAGCTAATGCTTGCATAACTAATGCATATGTTCAAAAAGTGTACCAAACAAAGTATTACTAATACACAAAGCTAATACATGCATTATTTTACCTAATGCATCCTACCAAACGACCCCTTAGGGTTCTGTTATGAATTCTGAAGTGTGTATGATCCCACTGCTGGTTCAAAGTAATTACTTTGAATTGTCCGAGGATCTTATATGATTTCTTCCTTTGAGACTCGCCTTCTTTTGAATCTTCTCATTTTATTTTTCTTGAAAATAGTTACCAACACACTCCGAGGGCTCACCTATTTCCCCATGTTCATTTACTGCATTCATGTAAAACTCATAAAGAACAACTCGGCAAAATGACCCCGTAACTCGGGCAACTGGAATCGTTCTCTCTTTCTTTTGGTCTTATGTGTAATTTCTGAGTAGAGTAGGATGGGAATTAGAACATGCTTTTGTCCTCTGATGGCATCTGATGTTGCATCCTGCACTTGTTAGGTTTATGATCGCAGAAAGAAAAGGCTAGTGGAGGAAATAATTGATCGGAAGATTGTCTTGTCAATGAGGGCTATCTATCAGTCTAAATTTGGCCTTGGCCTTATGGATAATGGTATGCTTTTGACTTAATCAGTTATCAAAGGATCCTCAATTGTGCGCATTTTTTGTATAAACACTTCTTCTATATGTAGAAGGGGAGCCTTGGCGTAACTGGTAAAGTTGCTGCCATGTGACCAGGAGGTCACGGGTTCGAGCCGTGGAACCAGCCTCTCGCAGAGATGCAGGATAAGGCTGCGTACAATAGACCCTTGTGGTCGGGCCCTTCCACGGACCCCGCGCATAGAGGGAGCTTAGTGCACCTGGCTGCCCTTTACTTCTTCTATATGTAAGCCTATAATGAATATCCTGATATCCATCTAGTTTGCCCCTATGATATATATTAGTTTCAGTTTTTGGCCCATGTACTCAAAGTAGCTCTTTAGCCTTCGATTTTAAAAAATATAATGGTTCTAGTCCATTTTTAATATACATATCTCAATCTGTTAAAAATCAGGGGTATTTGATAACTCTCATAGTGGAAAATCAGAAGAACAAACAGAAAGCAAACTCATAAGAACAAGCTTCGCTTTTTCTGTCATCAACAGGGTAGTGAGGGTGATTCGGGGAGTCTGGCTAGGGAAGGATGAGTTGGGGGTTTGAGAGGACGGAGGGTTGGGTTAATGGATGGTGGAGGAGCTTGGTGAGGGAGGAACGGGTAGGGCTAGGGTGGATAAGGAATCTTAATTGTATTTGGGATACAGATGCTACACATTCAGTTGGGGTGTTATAAGTACGCAATGGAGTATGCTAAATGTTACAGTTTTAGTGTTTGAAGGATCTGCACTAGATACTTCTAAGTCGTACTCGTGTTACACCCATTCAAACTGTTTAAATCAGGGGAAATGAAAGTTGCATTTATATTAAGTCCAGGTAGTAGTGGGTTGTTGCGGATGGGGATGAGCAACACAGGAGAGAAGGTTGGGTTGAGCGTTGAGGTTTTAATTTTTTTCTTTTTCATGTGTTTCTTTTTTATTTCTTTCCACTTTATTTTTCACTTTATGCATATTAGTTTTTCCTTTCTTTTTTGCTTATTTATTTTGTTTGTTCGTGCAAAAGACTATTTTAAATGTGTTAAAATTATCTTAAAATCCAGATTTATATTATTTTCCGGTTGTATGCTGAATTAATAAATTGCCCTGAATTTAAATCAGATTTAATTATTCTTGTTCATTCTTAACGGTTCTATTAAAAAATGAGCCAAAAGTTCCACTTCTGGATAAATGAGGACTGGAAGTGCAAGCAAGGATAACACAGGGGCCACCGAACTAGTTCTAGCAAATTTTGAGTAAGACATTGCTTTACATGTAAGTCGAAACTCTCAATGTAGCATGGGCCACAAGTGCTCTTTATCCTGGGAAAAAAGATATACCTAACTGATGCTGGTTTCATAATACAGAACTCTCCCATCATCCTATCTATCTCTCATATTTTTCCTTTATCAGATACTATCAACTTGAGAAATGTACATAGTACAGTGAGTATCTAGTACTCCCTCCGTTCCAGTTTATGCGAATTTATTTCGAGAGTCAATTTGACTAATATTTGAAGTTAAATTGGATTAGATTAACTCGATATTTTAAAGTTAAATTTAGATATCCAAAAACTATACGAAAAGTGCTATAAGTTGCAATTCTTCTCATGTCAATATGCTGAAAAAATGCATTTCAAAATGTTGGTCAAAGTTTACATAGTTTGAATCTCGAAAAGCGAAAAAGTTTACATAAAGTGGAACGGAGGTCATGAGAGTTTATAAATTGTGTTCCCCATTTTTTCTGCTGTGTATTCTTGTTGCTGATCGTTACCATTTTAACTTTAGCACAGGCGCAAAAGAAATCTTGCGGAGCCTCTCTGAAAAACAGGGCAAGAAAATGGATTCTGCTGAATCTGCTAAAGAAATACCTAACTTCATTGAATTTTTTAAGGTATTCTTCCTAGTTAATTATGATGTCATAATTAGTTCTTCTTATACATTATTCTTCTTTCATCCTAGTAGATTCACTAGCTAGCCTAAGCCAACTGCAGCTAGATTCTGTACTTTTCTTCAATATACCAATTTTGCTGTAATGTCTTGTAGCCAACTTTGGACATGAAGTTCTTGTTTTTGGAGAATATAAATAATTATCCTTTTGCTTTCCCCATTTGTACACTCTGCTACTATTGCAATAAACTGTAGGTCCCTTGGAAGAGATTTGAATGATAAAAGCTGTGTCCTTTGATTAAATGCAACTTTCCTTCCACGTGTTATGTACAAAAAGCTATCCCCTCTATCCTTAATGGACTCTTACCTTTTATTATGAAATTTGTCCATCTTCCTCATATCGGAAGGCGCCTGCTTCAACACTTAATTACTTTTGATATTACACTATACAATCAAGTTAGAAATGCATCACAACTCCGGATTTGGTCAGCTTACCCCGGGTGCTTTGACTACATCTATGACCGAGAAGTATAGATTGATTGGGTATTTGGTTTGATTTTGGGGTTTATGTAATATATATACATATAGTTATATAAAGTGTGAGAATGCTTTGCTATTACACGAGATATCTTATGAATAAAATATTAGGTGTTTATAAGGAATTAAATTTTATTATTTTTAGTTCAGTAGCTTTAACGAATTGAGATATATACTCTATATGCCATAATATATATTTTTGTTGGTTGTATCCCAGCACCCGTATCCGCACTCGAATCCATATTCCTGAATCCTAAAATTTATGTGATGAAGAATCCGACGACCTTTAGATCTGCACCTGCACCGGATACTCGCACCCAAGTTCGAGCAACATAGATCATAAAAGATCTTTTGAAGTATGGAATCCTAGTATGTAATCATTGCAGAAGAATTCAATTGTCAAATAGGACCAATGTTTTTCTAGTAAATTTTCTAGACTTATCCAAGATACAACTTTAAACTCTATTCTTGGGCCTACTTCTCTTATATAAAGTACTGTAAGATTTGAATTATACTCCTGATCCCTTTATGCCTAAACTAAGAGTCTAAGACTACTGTGAGAGTGAAAACTGGAGCGCAAGAATGGGAGAAGTAATTCTTTATCCTCATTATCATCTTGAAGTCCCAATTTCCAGATGCTGAAGAGGAAATCATTTGTTTGGTGATTTGACAGCATAGCTACTTTATGCTGAACATGTTTTGTGCTTGAATTTGTTATAATTTCCATAATTCCTGGCAATATCTATGTATAGTGTCTTTCGACGTGGTCTCTTTTGCAGAACACAGAAAGTTATCTTATTCTTGTGAACTGCTATGATTGACTTCAATAATTCTGTTTTAGGGTCAAATAAATATGGATGAAGTCAAGTATCCGTTGGAGCAATTTAAGGTATGCCAACACCGTCAGGCAACTTGGGCTTTCATTTGAAAGAGATTCTTTCTTTCTTCACTTAAATTTGGTATGCTTCTTGTAAATCGAAGCTTTCCCATTATCCAGAAATAGGACTTTACTTTCTCTCAAAAAGAAAAACAAAGAAAAAGGGAATTTTCCAACTAGGTCTTTCGACTGATTGCAAGAGAATGAACTGATACTGGCAGTGTTATGAATTATGAAAAGAATGAATTTAATATGGTCTGTTGCTTGCATATGCTTCAATTTGGTATTACATGTAGAAGAAGATTGAGTAGAAGTCTGTGAGGATGATAACTTGTCACTAGGATGCGTTGTATCTTGATCAATCCAATGCTCCTTATTCGTATTTGATTATTTTTCTTATAATTTTCTGATCTTGTAATTTTTTATGAAGTTTGAACTGTCATCGCGCATCATTGCTTAATGGTCTCATTAATTTGGTTTCCAGACATTCAACGAATTTTTCATTAGAGAGTTGAAGCCTGGTGCAAGACCTATTGCTTTTATAGAACGTGATGATATTGCTGTATGTGCTGCTGATTGCCGTCTGATGGTATTCAACAGTGTTGCTGATAGTATAAGATTTTGGATCAAGGTAAATCCACTATATTGTAAACAAATGTTTGTTTTTCATTATTGCTTGAAAATATTCTGCTATTTCTCATGATATCTATAAAGATCACTTACTGCAGATTATTTGCGGATCCTATCCGGTAGTTCAATGTAAAACAAAATATTTCAACTTTTTACCACATGGCAGAAACTTTATAACCCTTGTTCACATTTGTCTGAATTGCTTTATTTTGCTTCTCTTTTTTCGCCTTTTGGCGTGTGTTGTGTATTGTAATGTCCATTACAGAAATGCTAAATCATTTTGTCCTATAGCGAGATCTTAGAAGTTTCAAAAGCTTCTACTTATTTTCATTGTGATGCAAACTGCCTTGGTATCTTATGGATTACCTCAGGGTCGAAAGTTTTCCATCCAAGGTCTTCTGGGGAATGAAGCATGTTCCAGTGCATTTGTCAATGGAGCTCTAGTGATATTTCGCTTGGCACCACAGGTAGAATTGTTGTGAACCTTCTTCCTTGTTTGAGCTATTTCTCACTATTAAATATTTCTGTTATGATTTCTCAATATTAAAATATTTTTGATTAAGTAAATTTCCACTGTTCTATTCTGATTTACACTTTTTGGATATGCTATACCAAATAACTGCAGGACTATCATCGTTTCCACTTTCCCGTCTCTGGAACTATTGAGAAATTTATTGAAATACCTGGATGCCTATATACGGTATGTAAAATATATTGCTTCCTTAAATGTAGCTTATCTTGGCAGCGAATTGTGCTTCCTTATCAGAGTAATTTTTAATCCTAAATGGTTCATGTTGTTCCACTCACCCCACTCCCCTTTTTCTTTTCTTCCAGGTGAATCCTATTGCTGTGAATAGCAAATACTGCAATGTTTTCACAGAGAATAAGAGGGTTGTGTCTATAATTTCCACAGAATACTTCGGGAAGGTATGTCATTTTATGCAGTTGACTCCAGTTTCACACATAATCTTTCTTTCTTGAAAGAGTTGTGTACTGCTTTGTTAATATTGTCCAGCTATCCTTTATCAGCCATGCTAGTTAAAAGTAATTAATTCTGATACTGCTGTCTGTGAGATGAATGCTTATTTTTTTACCTAGATTTCTTTGAAATATCCAACCGAAGTGGTCATAATAAATATCTGAAAATTCAGAATGATACGTCTATTCTCTTCTTTATCAGTAGGAGGTTTTTGATCATTAACTTTCAACATTTCTCTCGTTAGGCCGTGTTTGATTTGAAGCAAGGGATCTAGTCACATATCTCAGTGATACAGTTATCAGATTCATAGGCCACTTTGTTTGTGTGACTCCTATTTTGAATTTCCTTTTAGATTAATTTAGCTAGTCTTTTTAGAAACTCTCCAAGTGAGAATAACTCCACACTCTATCATCTCCTTAAGGCTATTTTTGAGTCATTAACGTGTTAGTCTCTAAGGTGTTGAACTAATCTTCGCGCTAAAGTTTCATTCCTTCCCTTTTCTGTCTATAGGAGCTCTAACAATACTTGATATAATGCTTAATTGATAATATCCCTTCTAAGTTGAGTCAGCATTCTGAACTACTGCTTTTGCCAGATTGTTGGCTAAGATATCGAACTCTATGCCCTTTTTTAAAAATACAATTTTACTCCATTAGGAGGTGTAGTCCTTATATTAATCACCAAAAAATTACAGCGTAACAGAGGGAGGGCATCAACCTAGCCCCTGTTCAACAAAAGATCCCAGAGATCCCAGTAATCACAACCAGGGCCATATACAAGTACAAAGATTCATAATCTAAGTTATACACTCCTATGATCCTATGCAAGATAGTACCCTTATACATCAGATTTCTCCAAGACAAACCTGCGACAAAAACAAAAGCTTATGACAGCATGTTCCTCCTGTGCTTATGCCTTATTGAAGCCATTTGGGCCTTGTCATCAAATAGGGTCCAGCCGCACACCTGGGCAGATCTCTAGGATTGAGGAAAATGGATTCATTCTCCTTAATTCCCCATTTAGCAAGAGCATCTGCTACTTGATTAGCCTCACGAAAACAATATTGGGCCTCAAAATTTACTTGTTGAAGTAGTTGTTTAGTATCCAAAATAATATCCTTCATTTGCCACGCTAATCTTGTGTTCCCTTTAATCATATTATTACTACCATAGAGTCACATTCAAGGGACATGTTTTGGAAGCCCTGTGAAATACACCACTTCACGCCCAGCCATGCTGCCTTAGCCTCCGCCAGAACTCTATTCCCTTACTGTGTCTTATTATGCTCAATTTGGTGAAAGAAGCTTTGCTTAATTGACTGCAGGTTGCATTTGTTGCAATTGGAGCAACAATGGTTGGCAGCATTAATTTCTCCAGAAAGGAGGGTGACTATGTTAAGAAAGGGGATGAGGTACAGTACTTATGACGTGGGACTTTTGCTGCCTTATGATTAAATTATCCTGTTTGATGTCTAATTCATATTCCTTTTTCATGATTGCAGTTTGGATATTTTTCTTTTGGTGGAAGTACTGTAATTTGTGTCTTTGAAAAGGTAGGTGTACAAGCAATTTTTTCTACTTAAAAAAGACTTGGAAAATTCTATTTTGCAAGCTACATTGTGAAATCATGCTGTAGAACTATTCTACTCTTGCCTATTTCATGATGTTTAAGCTTGTTTTTTATCATCTGAAGTTTTTTCAAATGCTTTGCCCCCTTCCCTTTCGAAATCCTGAAGTGATAATCGCTTTTAACCTTGGTTTTGTTGGTTATGTGAAACATTGCTCAAGTACCTTTACATCCCCATATGTTACTATTACTTGAGTATATATAAATCATATTGTGGCATGCTTTTAGGGGCCGTATGGTAGGAGGTATTAGAAAAAATAATGCAAGCATCAGGTTTGTGCATTACTAATCCCTCGTTTGGTACGTTTTTACTAATAATTAGTTATACATCCTATTTGGTATTGTCCTATGTATAACTAATACATAGTAAACCATGGTATTAGCAATGCAAAGGGTTTTAATATTTGCATAAACATTAAAGACATAATTTCCCCTCAAATCCCTCAAAACCTATTCCAAACACTTCCTTCTATATTTTATAGAAACACATCTGCTCTTTCTTCTCTCTGTAAGCTTTGGCCATGGAAAAAATAGTGTTCAAAGTTAAAGAATGTGGAGGGTATTTTTGTAAACAACCAATTCTTTAGAAATTATGCAATTCTTTAATACACCAAACCAAACAGTGAATAAGAAATAATCTCAGCATAACTAATTCCATCATTACTGATACTCAGCACTATTCTTATACAACGACCCCTTCGTGTTAACTGCTAAGGTAATACACTTTTTCTTTTATATCATAAAGACTTAAAAGTATTCTGCCAGCATGGAAAATATACCAAGTATTTATGTCCTGCTAGAGTAACATCTGCCCATCTAGTGGGCTCATTTTGGGCACAGACAATCGTGGTGATATCTCAATGCATATCCTTAGAGTTCAACATGTATGTTTAGTTGAACTAGAGGTGACAAACAGGCGGGTCGGGTCGGATAAGGGTAGGTCGAAAACGGGTAATGCAAAAATGGATAAATTATCCGATGCGACCCATATTTAATACGGGAGAAGATGGGTTAGCCGACGGATAATGTGGATATCGATATTATCTATGACTTCTTGAATCTGATCACTTTTGGGAGAATTTTTAGTCTCCTGAACTTGAGTAACCCCCAATTTGAGTCGGTGCAAATGTAAAAGTTAAACCCATTGGTTATCTATTTTTTAAGTGGATATTATAGATCTTATCCATATTTGAGCCATTTTTAAAATGTTCATTATCCAACCCATTTTTAACGGATAATATGGATGGGTAACCGTTTTTTCTATCCATTTTGCTACCACTAAGTTGAACGATTTGGCTTGAGCCAAAGAGTTGTCATCATAGGAAATATGGGTTTAAAGAGTTTATAAACTGCCACTAGGATTTAGAAAACCAATGTGAGTAATCTATTTTGCAATAGAAGATATGGAGATTAGTTTGTCTGTTAACACAACACCACTTTGGTCTTTTCAATACATGTATGAGAATAAATAAAATGTCCAGCTGCTTAGGTTCTAATTTAGTTTAGTCAGTATTGAATAATACCTCTGCGAGATAGCATTGCTTATTGGAAGGTGTTATGTTTTTATCATATTGAATTAATGACTGATAAAAATAGATCTTGGACCTATCTCAACCCCAAACGCTAGCTCCTGAGGCGAGGATTTCCGAAGACCATATAAGGAGACTCATTTTTAAATCCCCAACGGATGTGGGATATAACAATGACTAATAGATCCATAATTTTCACTAATATAAAGAAAGAAGGAAAAATTCCATAACTTGGAACTGGTATAAGTTGGTGCGACGTTTCGAAGATATATGTAAGGTTTAGGTGACTGGTTCTCAAAAAAAATGTAAGGTTTAGGCGACTGCTGCAAGAAAAACAAAAAGGAAAAGAGAGAGAGAGAGAGAGAGAGAGAGAGAGAGAGAGAGAGAGAGAGAGAGAGAGTAGGTTCTACTTGGAATCCTGTCCAGCGCCTCTGGTAATTTAAGACTCTCTGGACTCTTCTATGGGTAAATATTTCTGATCATCCTCTTGTAGAACTACATGGGTTAACTTTAAGCTATAAGAGATGACTATATACGTGCCCTGTATTCCAAAAGTGTCTAATAATTTAGGGTGATTTGGTTCACAAACAACTTATACATGGATTATAATATGTGGATTGTAACAATGATAATCACTGAATAATTTAGTGAATATGCATTAGAGGAATATTTGGTTCATTGTATAAACAGTGTATTTTTGAAACATCTATTTCAGTTTCACGTGTCATAATTTTTTTTCCCACTAATATATATTTTATGTTTCCATAAAGGATGTGTATAAAAGGAGCCATCACTAGTGTGAGATCACAGTTGGAGACACAAAATATTTTTCTGTAACCGTGAGTTTACACCAGGGATCAGAACTGAGCCCTTACTTGCTTAAACAAGTTATCGATGAGCTAACTAATACCATACATGATGAGGTCATATGTTGTATGCTATATGCATACGATATTGTGCTAACTGAAAAAACCAACGACAGTGTCAACCAAAAGCATGCGTTATGGAGAAGCACTCTAAAAGAAAGTGTTTTAAGATAAGTGAAAGTAAGACTGAATATATGCGCTCAAGTTTAGCCAACATAAGGGTAAAGTTGATATGAGATTAGATGGGTTTGTGGTGTAAATGCAAACAATTAATATATCTAGACGCGATGCTCCAGAAGAATGGTATGATAGATGAAGATATTACACAAAGAATCAATATAGGATGCTGAAATGGTGAAGTGTGTCCAGAGTGTTATGTGATAGATGGATGCCTGCCAAAGTGAAACACAAGTTTATAGAACGGTTGTAAGTTCAATAATGTTATACATGCGTAAATGTTGGGCCTCGAAAGTCAGTGTTGCAAAGATACGAATACTATGATGGATGTGCGGTCACAAGATTAGACAAGATTAAAAATGAGAACATTCAACAGAAGCTGGCATTCGTTTACAGTAATTACAAAAAACTTTTTAGGTATTGATGGTGAATTACTTGCCTCATAAGATTAGCCAGCTCACAATGTTCACTCCACATTAGATATTTTGTGTATCTATACATAGAATTCATCACCCTTACCTTCCCTCTTTTTTGTGAGTTGCGTCCCATCTAGTTGTACATTTGGAAGCGCCATTCCTTAGAGGGAGTAGTAAGCAAAAATATGGAAATATTTTATTTTATGAAACTACTATCCTGCTGTTGTTTAGTGATATGCATTTCATCTGATCTGTGGAAATGTACAGGATTCCATAAAGATAGACGAGGATCTCTTGGAAAATAGTGCAAGATCACTTGAGACCTTGGTATCTGTAGGAATGCAGTTGGGTCTCTCCGTAAAGAAGCAGGATTAACATGAAGCTGCCAAGTTTCAGAAACCTTTCATTATGAGCTTGATATGTTCACCAACTGTGTAGAGATTAGTCCTAGATGATTGCAAAAATGATTTAAGCTGATTACTGTGCACAATTTGTTTGGGACTGAGGCATAGTTGTTGTTGTTGTTTTACTGTGCACAGTTTGTAACTTTTAGGTCTGTCTTCTAAATTATGTGTTATCATTCCTCATGAAGAATTAGCATTTGCTATCATTCATTTCCGTGGTTAATTTATTATTTCTTATGATGTAAAATGCACCCGTATGTATATATCAGCTTGAGTAACCACTTTAAACTGAAGAAAGAAAAGAAGGAAAAAGAATAAGGTGTCACTAGCAATTTGTTTTAAGAAAATGTCACACTCTGTACACAGATAATGGATCTTGTCTACATGTAGTTTGCAGTTCTCATTTTTCAATATCGTAGCTTAGTTGACTTTCTGAGAAAGCTGGCAATGCAGACATTGATAAGATGTGAACTTGCACCTCTTCTTTCAGAATGCCACTTTCTTTCTGTACAATTTCATGACTTGTCTTTGTACTGAGATACCGCTGACCACTGGGAAAATGACATTACATTGTTGTGTAATCTTATCAGTGAAAGCTTTAGAAGGTTTGCCTGTAACCACCAATGTTATGTGGGTAAGGGTTTGGTTGTGCCTTGGCTAATGCTACCTGTCCTTGCATTCCATTTCTCTGATATTCTTGCCACATTAACTGCTCTTCCACTAGCAGTCTCTGTTTCTTCTCCATCTCTGACATCTGAACATATGCTGGTGGAGCTATTGCCAGTGATGCTGCAAAAGGATCTGTGCCTGGTACGGCTGTACTAGCTCCCCCATTTGCAGTTGGAGGTGCAGGCAATGCTAACATTGCTGGCCGTCCTGCTGAGCCAAATGCTACGCTGCTTGCACTTCCAGTAGCCACAACACCTGAGCTGGCTACTGCCTGTGCCACTGCTCCTTGTTGGTACATGCCATCAAGTGTTAATGTGTCAAATCCTCCGGGAAAGGAAGCTTTCTGGTTTGACAAGTGGCTTGCGGATTGAACCAGTGCTGTCTCCCAATCTCCTGAATCGTTGAATGCTTGCCATGGTGAAATGCTTGTTGTAGGATTGGTCGTTGCTTGACCACCATCAAACAGGGCTAAAGCCAGTTGATCTCCATGTTCTTCCGTAGTTGGAACATCTTCACTCAAGTTCAACAAATCTCCTACTTCTTGGGTTTTCACCACTTCTTTCTTGTCGTCTTCCTCTTTCTTTTCTTCTGTTTCTTTGGGCAATACCTCTGGTGCTGGTAATGCCTTAACTGCATTCATGTCCTCTTCGGGTTCAGTTTTAGTTTCCTGCTTTTCAGTTTCTTGAACATGCTCAGTAGTTGGCTCGTTGCGTATTGCCGCCTTCCTGGTCTGTTCTCTGAAGGACTTTTCTCGTATAAGGTCATCCATGCGCTCAAGTTTCTTCGGTGGAATGATCTCAATATCTGGATATTCAGAAGTGCGTGCAAGTCCAACTGTTTTACCCCAATCGTAGAACTGCTCGAGCTCCTCATATTGCTTATTAATTCTGAAGAAAATCTCGAGAACTTTTACAGAGTCGGGGATTGATAGTTCTATGAACTTATCAAACAGAATAGTTATGATTTCTGTTAAATCATAATGTAGCTGGAAACTTTCCTTCACTAATGGATAAAGAGCCACAATCACGACTCTGTTGTTCTTTGCCAAACCTGAAACATATAGTGGAATTTTATATTTAAAGACTACCTTTAGAAAGGAGTCGGTAAAATACGAGCAAGCCCTTATGGTTTTTATAAGATGTTAACAAAATTCAAATTTTGTTAACCTCATTTATTATCTTCTCATCATTTCTTTTCTCTTCATTTCAGCTACTTTACTTCTATGCTAATTCTATATTGGCATTTGATATTCATTACTTATAAGATGCATTGCTGATTGAATAACCAATATATTTATGAAATTGACAAGAAATATTAAAGCAAAAGTGGAGTTAGGAAATACTAACCTGCAGGTCGACAAGCCAAGAATCGCTCTAGGAGCTGCATGAGATGATGAATCCTTGAGAAAACTCGATCATTCTTCATTTCCCTCAAAGGAGTGGCTTTTACCCCCTTGGCATTATGACGAGCCTCTTCTTCATCATCGTTGTATGAAAATGCACTGCGTTTTCCCCTGCGGTTTTGCATCTTAAACTCCAGGTGTTCATCAAGGTACAAAGCATATGATCGTACAAATGCAGAACAATCCCAGGAGTTAGATCTTGAGTCACGAAAATCAGACATGTTAAGAAGCCTGGTTCCTCGCCTTGTGGCAAAGAAAATCTCCTCCTCGTAAGACGGATCACCATCAGAGAGCAGCCTATGGATCAACATGAGTGCCTTAAGCGCCACAACCCAATTCTTGGTCTTTCCAAGGCGTCTGGAAATGAAGCTAACACATGCACCAACATAGGCTCGAGAATAAGAAGTTAAGCTTAGAATCTCTCTTATATGCCTCTCCTCCGGTGGGTACTCTTCGTGTCGGGTCACCTTCACGATGGCTACTTCAAGATCGGACAAGGAGGCACTGCTCCCAACTTTGGCCAAGCCTATGCTCGTCTGGTCCTTCACTGCCCCAATTGCTTTTCTAAGCGTGCTTGGAGCCATGATGTTTCAGACTTGTAAGTCTCAAAAATATTTTAATATACTGCTGATTATTTTTCTCTTCAACTATTCACAAGGATGGCCGTATTAACCTGAAAGAAATGAAACAAAAACAACCCATAATGACTTCAAGATTAAACATGCATGCATGGTATGTTACGTAAATCTCATAAAAAACAGCAAAATAATTGAAGTCATAGTAGAACATTATTTTACACCTGTTATACTGCATTTTGTGGTAAAACGGATGGAAAAGTAAGAAAGATTCAGTTTTGCAATGAGAGAATAATTCAAAAGAAAGGAGAATTTACTGGAGTTGGAGAAAGAAGATGAAAAGGGAGAAAATGAGGTATGTGCAGCTCTTTTTTCTCTCTTTTCCTGATTAAAATTTTCGCTTTCTCCCTCTTGTTTTTCTCTCTGCTTGAGTTGCTCCAATAACCATAGAAATACCCTGTGCTTTAGCAGCATATTTCGGGAGGCTAATGGAAATATTTTCAAAACAGAGTTACCACTTGCGAATTTGTGATGAATGAAAATTCTCTGTCTTAAACATTTTTTTCCCCCTCGTTTCTGAATTTCTGTGAAGAGAAGAATTTTAATAAAAATTTTAAGGCAATACCAATTATTTTGGAGATGGACCTGACTAACTCGCTTAGGATCGATCATCTGTGACGTTCTCTGTGTGCCACTGTATTATAATTACCATACTTGTATTATGTTACACGTGATTTGATAGAAAATATAATATATGAACAAAACTTAAAGAAAAATAATGGAGCGACACAGAAAGACATAAAAATGAGAAGAAAAGCGAGTAAACATTTTTATTCAATTTGTTCCATCTTAATTTTGTTTCAGGCTTTTTAAATATATTTTTTCTATCATAGATTTAATTGAAAAAAGATTTCGGGCGTTAAACAACGTAATTCATGTTCATGGTATATATAGAAAATGCAGAAAAGGTATTATAGATCTAAAGCGAACTGAAGGTATGTTCACGGGAATTTCTGTTTACGCATGTCATGATAACTCATGGAATAGGATTCTCTTTAATTTGAGAATGTTGAACACTTGAACTCTTTGTAATTGTTGATAGAAATGATTGGTGTTCCATTAATAGCACAAGAAAAATTAAAAGAATGAAAAATTGAACTTATACCACTTTCTACACCTCTTGAAAGCTTATTCTTTACAGCAGTATCAAACTTGACCAAGTATAATTTGAATCACTAGCTTGTACGCATCTCGATCTATTCACTAGTTATTTCTCTTCCATGCCTACGTATCAAGATTTAGGGCAAATGAAAAGAAACACAACCTTTTGTGTATATTGAACTTGTGTCAATTTCATCTACCTCTATTCCACACCCTTAAATGCAACTAAGCTTCTCAAGAGAGGTCTTAAATACTTAAAGGTACGTTGTATGTATTTTCTTATTTAATGTACTTGAAAGTAATTGTATATTAATAGGTGAAGTAATAGTAACTATCAGATATTACTAGTGAGATCATATACGAAATACTACGGTTCTATCAGAGTAGTTTCTTTCTAAATATTTGATTTTTCAACAAGTATATTTTAAGAAGTGAAAATGGCTAAATATACCCTTCTATTTTCTAATATTGTCTACATCTTATCTCGGTTATACTATCCGGCCAAATTTATCCCTACCGTTATACTATCCGGTCAAATTTACCCCTACCATCAGCAAACTTTTAAAAATTATCCCCGAGTCCCGCTACTAAAAAACTTTCAAAAAGCGTCCAGAGCATACCGACCGAAATTGGTCAGAAAGTAATACTGACCGGAATCGGTCAGAAACAAAGTAAACTGGTCGAAAAAATCAAATAAAAATACCCACCGCAATCGATCGAAAACTGTGGTCCCATAAAAAAGAAAGTTTGCTTTATCTGACATAGTTGAAATTTCCGACCGACTGCGGTCGGAAAATGGTCAATCTTTGACTAAAGCCTGGTCAGACTTGCATACTATCTACAAAAGAAATGATTCATTAAAAAAATTATAGATACCGACCGATGCCGGTCGGAAATTTTAATTTATTTTTTTCCTCCCTGTGTCAATTGTTTTTTTATAATAAAAAATTACTTTTAATATAATTATAAAAATATCGACCGAAATCGGTCGGTATTAGTGGTCTAAATGGTCAAACACTTATAGATTATTGTTGCTTACAATCTACATATATATAACATCCTAAATTGTATATATACACCACAGGAAAAGAGGGCTATGACGGTATTTAATCAACGATATGTGAAATAAATATCGGAAAAGGACTAATTTTATGACACTTATTTACAAATATCGTAAAATCAATGACATTTGGTAAGAAATGGCACAATTATTGTGACCTTTAATTGAAATGTAGCTATATTAGTTGGTATTTACTGACATTTATAACTAATGAAGGAAATTTGCTTACATTTATAAAATATATTAAGTGTAGGGGCGTCTGCTATTTTATCTCAAAAAACCCTACAAAACTTCCCCTTTTCTCAGACCCAAATAACTGATGCCGTCGTCTCGCATTCATGAAATTGGTAAGGTTCTCATGAAATCGCAGCAATCTTCTAGGAATTTTTGCCATCTTCTTTTGGACTCTTTTCATATACCTTTCTAGCATTAGGATCAATTTATCAAAATTCAGAGTCGGTGCTCAATTAGCAGATACTACTGATTATTCCTAGATTGTTCTTAGATTAATTTAGAACTCTAAACATGACAGATACTGCTGATAATTCTCAAACTTCTAATCGAGGTTATTAAGGCGCGATGAAGTATTTTTTTTTTCTCCTGTGATTTTTGTTCTATTATGTTAACTGGATTAAATTTCCTGCCTTTAAAATGGTTGTAACCTTTTCTTTTATTATTATGTATTCAAGTTTGTTGTGGTTGCTGATGATTGGTTTAGGAAGTGGTAGGTAGGATTTATTAATGAACTTAATATTTCTTTGCTTATGTTATTGGTAGTGGGGTGTTGAAATTGATCAATATGGGGATACAATATTAGTATCTACTTTATTTTTTACTTTTATGTCACTTTGTATTTGCAGTTTCTATTAAATTTCAGTGGTTGGTTATTCTGCTAGTGAATTTTGTCTTTTACTTATTTCTAATATGATTCTTTTACTGTTCTGTTCTGTCCACCAGAGAGGACAAAGCCTTGGAATTGTTGCACTAGATAACCATAAGCTCATTATTCATGAAGGACTTGCAATGTTGGATCAAGGAGATGACATTCTGCTTTTCAGTAAGAATAGGATATTAGTACTATTTATAACTCCATGAGAAATATGACTTTTGCTGCATGATCATTAGCCAAATATGGTTTGTGAATTCGAGTTGATTGTGGTTCTAAACCTTGCAGGCCGGTCAATAGGATCATCTCCTTCAATTGGGATAAATAAATATGTAGTTTGTATTACTTATCACTAAATCAACACACTAGCATGATTATTAGCACTGAAATACTCTACTAACAAGATTACCGTGAAGGTGTTCAAAATGACTTGCACTAGGAGCAAACTCAAGGGTCGTCATCCTTGTCAAAGGTTATCTCTTCACAATATCAATGAGATCAAGAAAATTCTTGTGGCTCACTTGTGAAATATATCAATCTACGACAAATAATTTTAACAGAACATCATGTATACTCTACAACTAAAATGTCATGCTTATAGTTAAAGGGAGTAGGAAGAGGAAAACGACAAAGAGAACTTTTCCTTTTGTGTTGCATTTATTTTAACTGAACAGATGTATGTGTGTTCAAGCACCTTTTGCATTTTCTTACTTTATGGATCACTTGTTTACATTTGTGGCTTGTGTTTCTGGAAGACTTGAAGTTTTTTATTGTTTTTTTCTTTTTGATAAGTAAGTTCATTGTTCTTCTTTGTTTGTATGATGGAAGTTTATAAGTTGCACAGGTTCTAACATTCCATGTGATATCATTTGCCATATAATTTTTATAGAAGTTGCGTGCTAACTGATTTTTGTTACTTGGTCTTTTTTAACTTCTAATTTATGCCTTTATTGGATTTATGTTAGGTTGATATGCAAAAATTAGAGTCAAGAAGAGGACAGTCCTATGCAAAGGGTGTTGCCATAGAGATTCAAGTTGCCTCTTTGTACGGAGGCTCACTAAGTGAACTGTTGTGAATCAGTGTTCTTGTGGTCGGCATTGGTCTTTATTTATAGTTAGCATTCAGCTTGTTCTGAAGATGAACAAGGATAAAAATTTATATTCTATGAGAACTATTACCGAATGATGGTGTAAGATTTGAAAAAATAATATATAAGTGACCCTTTTGTTTTAATTCAAATTTCTTTTGTAGGGTATGATATTGTAATATCAAAATTATATGAATGACTGAAATGTATGAAAAGCTAATGTTCTCTATGTATATAAAGAAAAAAAGCTGTTGACCAAAGATAATTTACCGACATTTCTATATATGAAGAAATGACGAATAGTATTTGGTGACATTTCTTTATATGTCGCAACTTTATTGAGCTTATATTCAAATAGGTGACATTTTGATAAAAGTCCTTGATAAGTGTCACTATTTATTTGCCTAACATTAATTTAAATGTCGGAAAATTCTCCACATCGAAATTTAGGACATTTGATATAAAGGTCAAATAAATGTCGGTAAATGATTTTGTGACATTTATGTGACTTATGACGACATTTAAAAAATGTCTTCCTAGTCCTATTTTCTTGTAGTGATATTTATACACACACATACATGTGTGTGTGTACACTCTCCAATTGTATGATTTGACCGAGTATATGTTGTTGTTGTTACAACTTAAGTTTTAATATAGCACTATATCTTATAGCAGTATACATTTTATTTTTAAATAAGTTACCGAGCGAAATCTATCGCTATTAGTGGTCAAAATGGTCAAACACTTATAGATTAATTATTGTTACTTACAATCTATCTATCTATATCTATATATATATATATATATATATATATATATATATATATATATATATATATATATATATATATATATATATATTCTTCAATTGTGTGATTTGACCGAGTACATGTTGTTGTTGCTACAACTTAAGTTTTAATATAGCACTATACATTTTGTTTTTAAAAAAGTTACCAACAGAAATCGGTCGGTATTAGAAGTCAAAATGGTCAAACACTTATAGATTAATTATTGTTATATATATATATATATATATATATATATATATATATATATATATATATATATATATATATATATATATATATATATATATATATATATATATTCTCCAATTATGTGATTTGATCGAGTATATGTTATTGTTGCTACAACTTAAGTTTTAATATATCACTACATCTTATAGCGCTAAATATTTAATTATTTTTAAATAAGTTTTAATGTGGAGGAGTACACTTAGAGCTTGCCACCGAATGAACAAGGCGAGCGAGCACTCCTTTCAGACGAAGAAGCGCAGAAGATATGATTGGATGTTGTCGGTGGTCCTAAAAAGGGGATAGCATATGGCCCCAGAGAGATAACTTCAGCGCTACAGGGCTGGATTGCAAGGTATAGGGACTTCCGCCCAGGGTGAGGCAATTGATAGGTCGATTTTCTCGTCTATGGAGAAGAAGATCACAAAGCTGACATCAGAGTTTGAAGAGACAAAGGCTAGAAAACAAAAAAGAGATAAACAATTTGATACCTTTCAAGTTCAGCTAGAAAAGAGGGACCAACAATTTAATGTCCTTCAACGTCAGCTGGACAATCTTCTTGCTAGTGGTGCTTTCCCCATTTCGCGGTCTCGTGAGCCCCCTGATGTTAATCTTTCTCGTCGTGATCCTTCGAACAATACCGACAATGGAGCTTCTAGTAGTGGAGATGAAGATGATGTAATACAAAACACTCATTGAATGATGTTTGAACTTTTAACTTGTGAAACATTTTATTATTAAGTATAATGTTTTGTTAATAAAGTTTAGTGGAGATGGAGATGATGTTTTGTTAGTAATATAGTTTTGATAGTTGTTATTGTTGTTGTTATTATTATTATTGCTATTGTTGTTGTTATCGTTGTTATTGTTGCTGTTATTGGTTGAATGACAACAATGTAATGCTGCCATTATAAGTGATTGGTAGTTGGCAGGTGGGGCAACTATAAAACAGCTGTATTCTGCCAAAAAAATACCCAGAAAACCAACGCCTGCCGATCGAAGTCGATCGAAAATGTTCATTTGATTTCTCAGAAATTTAATTTTATCGACTGACTTTGGTCGAAATTTTTGATTTTAAATATTAAATATTTTAATAATACCTACCGACTTCAGTCGGAATTTTTGATTTTAAATTTTAAATATTTTAATAATTTCCACCGAAATTGGTCGGAATTGAACAATTTTAAAACAAATGAATAATTAAAATTCCGACCGAAGTCGGTCGCTAATTTAAAAATAATTAAAAATTATATTTAACAATACCGATCGAACTCAGTCGGTAAGATTATTTTGTGTCAGATAACTTGGTCGAAGTGCGTTGACAATTACCGACGGACTTCGGTCGGAAATATCTATTGACTACGGTCACTCCCCAATTGCGACCATTCTTTTTTCGACGAATTTAAAATGGTCGGAAATCGGTCGGTTTTTATTCGTTTCCGACCAATCTCGGTGGATTATTCTGGACGTTTTTTGATAGTTTTTTTAGTAGTGTCTGTCAGGTGACCTAGAATTTCCGAAATTATTTTAATTAAGTCACTTATTCTTCTTCTAGATTCACTATTTTCGAAATAGTTGGCATTTAAATGCTTTCTTAATAATTGAAAAAAAAATCAGAGAAAGAAATATTAAAATAATACAACGATTAGTAAACAAAGTATAGTAAATTGAAGTATATAAATTAGGTAGCTTGTCTAAATTTCAAAAGTATTTACAACACCCAAACTTTAATGAATTCGTTGCACCAAAGGTTAAACTTTGCAAGTATTAGTGATAGAAGTTAAAGTTCCTTGGAGACTTTACATTGTTGAATTTAACTTTGCTTTAATCAAATGTCTAAGCATTATGCACTCTTAAGTTAGTCAAACGAACTCTATACTAACCAAACAATAACAAAATATATTTGAATAAACATATACATATAGAGGGAGCTGCATATAGTACACAACAAATAGGCCCACTGAATTCTGCAGTGTGTTTATGGTTGAAAAATAAACAAAATTTTAAACCTATTCCAAATCCATTATCACAAGAAGAGAAGTGGGTGCAATGGTAATTAAAAATATCCATGAATAATTTGTATAGTCTAGTACCTTTAGCATTCACTTCAATAGTAATTTCTGAAAATAGTGGAGCACGAAGAACAACAAGCGATTTAAATAAAAGAAGATTGGGAGATTTCGGATTATCTAATTGGTCAAGGGATTATTTTTAAAAATTTGCCGATGGTAGGGATAAATTTGACTCGACAGTATAACGATATTGATAAATTTGGCCGGATAGTATAATGGTAGGGATAAATTTAACGGAATAATATAACGGAGGTTAAATATAGACAATATAATATTCAAAAATAAAGGGGTATATTTGGCCCTTTACAAGAACAACCTAACCAGAAAAATTTGATGATGGGACTATGATATGATCAATATAGGCCATATCATGAGGTGTTTTAACCACTTAATACGAACTTCTAGTGCTTTATAGGTAAAAGCTAAATTATTCGTGTAGAGATGTGTAAGGATGTTTTTTTTTTTCATTTTAAATTGAGCTTGAAAAAATAAACTCTTTTGATGACGAAAGCAACTGTGTTGAAGTGCTTTTATATTGTCTTTGTTTCTTCTTCTTTTGAAGAGCTTATTAGGATTTTCAAAAGAATCGTATGCAATTTATGAACGAGTTCACTCTCAAATAGAACATAAGAAATATGACTGATCACGTCCAACTATGCCTTATAAAAAGGACAATGCGGACGTTGCAAATATAACCTGAGCATTGTGCCCAGAGTCGAATCCACAGAGAATTAACCTATCAATCACTATCTTTAGACCTACTAAACTCTTTAGAATCAATTTCCCAAACGTTGAGAATCACAGTTGATGGTGTTTTTAATAACTAAGATTAACAGTAACTAATAGCTGCAAATTAAAGATGCTAAGTTGTAAACAATAATGAGAAAGCGCTAAAGTACTGATTTCCCCTATTGATGGAATTCCTTCTGTTTATGTTTCATACAAATTCACCAACACATTCTATCAATCATGAACGCTCTTCTTACCGTAAATTTCTCCCGAGTAATCACAGTAATTTACTAAATGCACTCTTCCAAGATACACTAGCTAGCTTTATTTATCACAGTTCACTTAAGATTGCACCCAAGGCTTTGTTATTTCTAATCCCGCCTTTAAACCCGCAGTTATATATCCCTCTTATACTTTGGGAGTGGTGTTGTTCAACATTCACCTAAATATGCACTCTCTCCCGAGTTATGCACACTAAATAGGCACAGCTAATTGAGGACCCTGTCAATTAACTACAACAAACACGTAGTTGAACAAATAGAAATTAAACTGGCAAACTGTATTCACATAAACAAGAAGTTCATCTCTCAACAGGTTCCATCAAAACCCTAGACAAAAGAATTAGCTGCTCATGACTATGGGTAAATAAACTAGAACAATATTCATAATCATAATTGCAAGAAAAATTAAAGAAGAAGAAGATATGATATTTTAGGTGATCTCTCACAATTGTTTTGCTTGCGAAAATATTCTCCAATACAATCCCTGCCTTCTTTGGGCGAAGTCTAGTATTTAAAATAGGGTTTTGGGCTAAAAATCCCGTATTTTGCACTTAAGTCCCTGAACTTTTCCGCCTCTACCGTGGTTCTGCCGCGGTCGCGGTCAAACCGCGGCCACACACCTTCTCTGAATCTCAACTTGTCCGCGACAGTCTTCTACTGTGGTTCTGCCGCGGTCGCGGTGGAACCGCGGCAGTCCTTCTTCAGGCCTGGCTTGAGCTGCTTCTCTTGGTTCACTTGGCAGAATTTTACGATTGGCCTCTTTTTCCCCATATTTGATCCCAAAAGTACTCCATAGCCTTCTCTTGTCATATATCAACTGCAAAGCATGAAAAGCACTAATCAGAACATTTTGTTATCACTTTTATCATCAAAACTATACAAGAAGGTGGTTATTTAGGGCCTAATTATAGTTAAATTCACCTATTATCAATGATAAACATAAAAAGAAAGTTTTGTCAATCTGCTGAAGAAGATGTCTTCGCTTGCTACAAAAGTTTTATACATATGACGAAAATCAAGAGTGTTGAGACTTGAGTCTTGAAGTGCTTTTTGTCTTTGTTTTTCTTCTTCTTTTGAAAT